ACCACTGAGAACAGCCGAGCTCCATCCTCTTTGGAACCCCCCTTCAGGTAGTTGAAGGCTGCTATCAAATCCCCCCTCATTCTTCTCTTCTGGAGACTAAACTCTTCTCTTTATAGGAGTGAAGCCAGACTTTCCCTGTAATGGCTGCTACAGACTCGGGTGGAACTGAGAGCAGGCAGCCTGTCTGTCCTGTGCTCTCAATGACCACTCTTCTGGCACCCATGCAGTGTGGAGGAGGAAGCAGAGGGGACCTTGCTGTTGAGGGGGAGGGCTGCAGGAATAGATTGGGGCAAGGAAGACTGGGAGCGGTGACGATTAGGAGTAGAGAGACTGGAACAGAAGCCTGAGGAGAGGAGACTAAGACTAACTAGTTGAGGAGAATGGGGCTGGGACAAGGAGCCAGTGGTGGGGTAAACACAGGGCTGGGGCAGGGTAAAAGGTATCAAACTTGGGGATCTCTGAGTCTCCCTGGTCCTCCTCTATCAGCAAATATCAATGAAATCCACTGGCAAAGTATCCCATCACCCACATAGAGATTAATGACCTACTACTACTATCAGTTACTCCATAAACTCAAGTGGCAGAGGTCTGTGTGGTGAATCTAAAGGTTCCAATCCAATATGACAAACGGTTAAAAAATATTAACATGGAACAAATATAAGTGTCACGTAATTAAAGACTGTATTATAATACATACACACAAGCAGGCTAAATTAAGGTGGCACAGGCAAATTTATTCCTGGCATTTCCTAACTTTTTTGAATGCTTGACTTTGCAACCTTAATTTTCTTTTAATGTAATGGTTAGACCCAGAGCTGGTGTAAATTGGCTCCCCTGAAGTCAGTGGAGCTAGCCCGATTTACACTAGCTGAGGATCCAGCGCTGACATTTTAAGGGCTGAGGAGCCAACCATCCAAGAGTGTGTAGGTGTATCACTGTAAGTGAACAGGCAGTGTTCTGTTTTTTTCAAATATGTCAACACTAAGCAAAAGCAACATAACTTACCCTGTCATCTGTACATTCGATCATGTCGCCAGCACAACACTCCACATGGAGATGTGTGATCTCCTTTACAATTTTGTGAATCTCTGGAAATGAAGCCTTAGGAAATTTTTGGCTCATTATAGCAAGAGTACTATAAAGGGGAAAACATCAGAAAAATGTCTGATTTAAAGCTCTGTATTGAAAATGAAACTTGCAAGTCACTACAATTTAGGTTACTCTAAATCATGATGGATGGGTTTAAATAAAGCAATTTTAAATCATTTATTTTAATTGTGACTTAAATCAGCAAACAGAAGAGCTTGAATTAAATCAGTGATTTTCATATTATTTTGTATTTGTACTTTTTTAGCGTTTCCACCCTACCCCTAAAGAAAGTCTCATTGGCTGGTAACCATTAAAACACGTTGATTTGTAACCAAATACACCTCTACCCCGATATAACACGAATTTGGATATAATGAGGTAAAGCAGCGCTCCGGGGGGGCGGGGCTGCACACTCCGGCGGATCAAAGCAAGTTCGATATAACGCGGTTTCACCTATAACGCGGTAAGAGGACAGTGTTATATTGGGGTAGAGGTGTATAGCATTTACATTAAACTTGGTCATCATCTGACTAACCAGGAGGATAACTTTATCTATACACATTTATTTAAGCAATTATATAGCT